TGAACACATGATCACATGAACACATGAAGTAATGATCACATGATCACATGAACACATGATCACATGAACACATGATCACATGAACACATGAAGTAATGATCACATGATCACATGAACACATGATCACATGAACACATGATCACATGAACACATGAAGTAATGATCACATGATCACATGAACACATGATCACATGAACACATGATCACATGAACACATGAAGTAATGATCACATGATCACATGAACACATGATCACATGAACACATGATCACATGAACACATGAAGTAATGATCACATGATCACATGAACACATGATCACATGAACACATGATCACATGAACACATGAAGTAATGATCACATGATCACATGAACACATGATCACATGAACACATGATCACATGAACACATGAAGTAATGAACACATGATCACATGAACACATGATCACATGAACACATGATCACATGAACACATGAAGTAATGAACACATGATCACATGAACACATGATCACATGAACACATGATCACATGAACACATGAATTCATCAGAGCACAGCCAGGAAAGACTTCTCATGGTCATCATCATGTTAAAGCTGACTGGGAGCAGCACAGCTGGGTCCACATCAGACTCATTCAGACCCAATCAAGCACCAGGAGCCTGCTCTTTGTAAACATCATCTGGTTTAGTTTAACTGATCAGAACTAAAAGTCTGACTTAGTTAATCATCTCAGACAAACCAACCAGTGCGGGTCCTTCAATGAGACCTGAAACACATCAGATGACCGCTGACGCTGGTTCAGACTATCAGATACTGGATTTCCATCAAACTGAGGACTTTGTATTGACTTCCATTCATTTTTTTAACTGTATTTAAGCGTAACCCAGACATTTTCCCTAAAATTAACCATTACTGGTCTATAGTTAACCTTAACCTGAACTAGAACTTAATTCACACCAAACCTCTAAACCTAACTAGGAAAGCACAGCAGAGCTGCAAACAAAGTGAGGACATTGAAGAGGTCACACTGATAGTAACTATGGAGCAAATGGTCCTCACTCTKTAGTAGAAACAAATACACACACACATACTTGCAGATGTTGGGGAAACACTCCTGGAGTCCTTTCTTCTTCACTAGAGAGCCTTCGATGCAGTACATGATGATGTCCATCACCTGAAMCAAACAAAGGACCAATTTAAAGGTTTTTGTCCAACGTCAGGTATAACTCCCGTCTAACATGTCAGTTTTTTAACGTACTTCCACCAGCAGATCAACAACGTCTCCAGGCATCTTCTCGATCAGGATGTCGATCACTCGCAGGATCTCAGTCTTSGCCCGAGAGAGAGTGGTGGTGTGAACGTTCTGCTGCGACTGCGAGTTCGCCTGAGCCGCGTTGTAACGATGAACCTGCCGATCGGAGGAAGACGTTAGACAGAGACCGCTGAACGGCGGCGTCCCTCTGAAGCTAACGTTTCAGACTCACCTCCTTGGCGATGGTGGTGATGAAGGCTGGCGGTCGGGCGGTGGCGATCAGAGAGAGGGCGTGGCGAGCGGAACGCGCTGCATCTGCTGGCGGGTTGAGGGGCAGACCCATGGTGATGCTGCGAGGAAGGGAAAAACGGGGYGGAGCTTAAGGTAAACATTCATCGAACAACAATAAAATCAAAAACCATTGACTGGACGTGGTTAGCTGGTCGCTAGCAAGAAGCTACATTATGCATTGAAAAGCATAAACAAAAGCAATGCATGTCGATGGATTGTGAGACGTCGGTTCTTATAAATTTCTTCCGTCACCWGGTCATCTTGGAGACGTCATAACCTGCAACCAGAACCCTCTGGATTCTATCGACGTTTCCTCAACTCCAGCTAACACCAGGTCAGTGGCCTTTATTACTCTGAGTTTCTTCATCCAGTCCTGCCTTGCCACTAAAACCCTGTCTGTATCCAGAAGAAACCAGTCCTGTTCCCAGCCAGACGACCAACACTTATTTCTTTTTGTATAATAAATATTTTAAACCAGTTTCTGTGTTCGGCTATTTATCAGAGCTCAAACCAAGGGTTGTAACATACTGAAAATAATTTAAATTACAAACGGTTGTGTAAAGTAAGACATTTAAGACAATCCATGTTTGACATGAAATATTTTCTACAATAAAATAATTATAAAAAATACAAAACTATACAAAGTGTTTATTCTGTTTATGTGACTATCTTTTTAAAAAGCAAATAACTTTACAGAAAATAATGAGTATTTTTATTATGAGGTGCATGATGCAGATCAATCATTACTTTATTATTTATCATTAGCGAGTTTACATCATAATTTATGAAATATTATAAAGTCACACTGGTCAATACTCCATTAAAATTACATTTCTTACCAGTTTAATATCAGTAAATAATATATCTGACAACAGATATCAATTCTACAAAAGGTTAAACATGAACATTGAAGCTTTTGATTGTTAGCATACAGGTTTTACGGATAAAAACCTTAATTTTGGTTAAATACGTATGCATATTATTTACCTG